GGTGTACACGATTTAAAAGTACCTAGAGACTCAAAAGCGATAAAATCCCCAAAAGTCAACTCGGGACCCCGTGGGGTCCACGACCTTAGAATTCCGATCCGATCGTTCCTAGAGGTTCCAATAGGCCTAGGACACATGTCCCAAGAGTTTGGTCTCGGTCGGATGGTCGGATTGCTCACAATTGTACGATCGGACTAATGAATGATTTTCCGTAAACCTAGTCCTAGGGTTGACTTTTTCGGAGTATCCGGGACTCCGATTGACGATCCATCGAATCCTACACGATCATTAAAATACCTAGATCAGCATCCTCCAGTTTGGCTATGATCCAACGGTCCGAACGTATTGAACCCGAAAAACGCACACTATGCGAGATCCGTACGGGGTTCAAATGTTATCCGAATTGAGATCCGCGAAAACCTACGCGCTCGTGAGGACACGAGAATCGTTCTGGGACCAAGAATGGCCCCTGCTACCTGTCCCACGCGCCGCCCACGCGCCGGCAGCGCGTGGGTGTGTATAGTAAATTCCGGCGGCCGGAAAATCTCCAAACCGCCCGCCCAAACTCCTATCCTAGGTAAACACCCTATTTGGAACCACTTTTGTTCTTGGACTATGGCCAAAAAGTGGCCGGAAATGACTGAAAACGGCGACGCAAACTGGCAGAACTTTCAGCTCGAAATTTAACAAATCAAACCTCAAAATTTCTCAAAACCTACCCAACCATCAGCTAGAACGTGAAAATCAGTCGAATGTCCATACCTGTTTTGTCCAATTTGGTGGCCGGAGGAGGAAGAACGAGCGGTGAGAAGTTTGAGCAAAAACCAGCCCGTTTTTCTGCAGTTTTCCGGTGAAACTCGCGGCGGCTGACGGCTGGGCTGCGGAGGTGGCTGCGACACTTCCTTGGCCGGTCTGGTGGCCGGAGGTGGTGAGTGGTTGGGTGTTAGTGGCGGTTTGGGATGTTGGCTGGAGCAAAAGAAGAACAGGGGAGGGGGAAGTTTCGCGAAGAAGAAGAAGAGGAAGTGAGGAGAGAGAGAGAGAATCAGATTTTTAAAAATCTGATTTTTGAAAAAAATACCATTTTGCCCTTTTCTCGTATTTTGATCGTATTTTCTTCGTTACAAGTCCGATTCGAGTCCACTACGTGTCTACGGACTCGTTTTGTCGTGCTCTATGCAATGGTACAAGTGGATTTTTCAAATTCCTTCCCGGTAAAAAAGTCAACTTAAAACCAAATAAAATATCTCAAGGGCATAATTGTCTTCTCCTCTAATAAATTATTAGTTAAAAATTATTTAAGGATCGGGTTGTTACAATATATATCCAACTTCCTATTGAGGATTTGGTGACTTTGATCCAAGTCCTTTGATTTTTGTGCCACATAAAATTACATTCCTTTTTAAATATTTTATGATGTAATCTTTTTATTATTTTATTTTTAAAATCATATTTTGTTTCAATGTTGCCCCTTATGACTTGAATCGGGTAATAGTCATTTATGTCATATTGCCTATTGCATAGGTATATATATGTGTGTGTGTGTGGTTTGTTTTTTTTTTTTTTTTCTTCATATTTTCGACAATGTGTAATAGTATTTTATGTACCTTTTTTTATATAAGTAATATAAAATTTTATTTTGTCTATTTTAGTATATGACTTATAGGTAATCTTCTAATTTATGTTCCTAACTTATAGGTAACCCGATTTATCACTAAGTATTTTTCGTTGCTAATAATAACACTATTTACCTGTATGTCAGGTACATAATTTAATGTGGGTGCTTTTCTAATCGATTGATATAATATGTGGGTCTTTACTTCTTATTGATTAAATTGTATTTTATCCATATATTAGGAATATTATCAAGGAAAGAATTCAAAATTTAAATTATGGAATTCAATTATAAGGAAATAATGCATTAAATTTAGATTTTCAATGTGTTTTCCTTATATACCTCAAAGGGTAAAATCGACAAAACAAAAAAAATTATAATAAATGTCAAATGACCTACATCTAAAACAAAAAACGCAAGGACTAAACCCAATGACAGCTAATCGTTTTGGACCTAGATCTAAGAAGCCCTTTTCTTTTTCCATGTTTTTCTCTCTCTCTTCTCCTTCATAACCATTTGGTAAAACATATATTGAATGAAAAAAAAATTGATGAACTTGTGGACATGAATTGAGTTCTCAGAATTTCAAAAAATAAAATTGAGTTTGAGACTATGAGTTTCAAATTCACATTAATGGAGTTCTCTTTGTTTCATATGAGATCATTTCATACCTTTATTTTGTTTGGGAACCTTCTCAGAAAGTACAAATAACCAAGAATTGAAGATAAAGAAAAAATTAAAAAAATGGAAACAAATTCTTCTCATAGAAATAATTCGGCATTCCAAGTCTGTAGGGGAATCCAAAAGCCTGGGTTTTATTGTTGTGTTACAGTGATGACGGAGAAATCCAAAAGCCTAGGTTTTGTTCACTCTCATTGTTTGAGTACCAATATCAAAACTTTAATGTAGGGTGAGGGTAGAATAGAAAAGAGAAAGAATAAAAAAGAACAAAATTGATTAAAAAGTATTAAAAAACAAAAGGGAGTGTAAATGGAGAGAATGGAAATTGGAAAATCAACACCCTTTTCTAAAACATTTTTCTATTTCTTTTCAAAGTTGTTGTTCTGTATTTATTTTTTTCTTCCTTTTCCCCCTTTTCTTTTTTCCTGTGTGATAAGGACTATTGATGATATTCAACAATATGCCACTACTACAAAAAGCTAAAAAGACGACCAGAAAAAGACGACGGTAACAAAAAAACCGTCGTGGATAAGTGACTTAAACAACTAAAAAACGGAGGTACTATTGAATATTTTTTTATAACGACGCACACAAATAAAAAAGCGTCATCTTATTAAAAAGGTTTTCTTCAGAGTTAAAATCTGACCAAAAAACGACGACAGCAGATATGACAAGCGTCGTCTTTTAAAAATCAAGTGTCCTTTTTTTGGTAAAGACATGGTTGTTTTGAAAAAACTGTCATCTATTATATGTAAAGATGACGGTTTTTTTTTTTTAAAAAGGGTCGTCTATTATGAAATAAAGATGATGGTTTTTTTAAAAAAAATGGTCGTCTATTATATGTAAAGATGACGCTTTTTAAAAAAAAAGGGTCGTCTATTGTGAAGTAAAGATGACGGTTTTTTTTTAAAAAGGGTCGTCTATTATATGTAAAGATGACGCTTTTTATAAAAAAAATCGTCGTCTATTATATGTAAAGACAACGGTTTTTTTTAAAAATAGGTCATCTATTATATGTAAAGATGACGCTTTTATAAAAAACCGTCGTCTATTATATGTAAAGACGACGGTTTTTTTTTAAAAAGGGTCGTCTATTATATGTAAAGATGACGATTTTTTTTTAAAAGCGTCGTCTTTTAAAACATGCTAAAAAATGGCCGCTTAAGTGAATTCGCGCTCGACAAATTTTCAAATTTTCACCCGTCTTTGAAAACCTTTTATCTCTCATTAACAAGCGTCGTCTTTTAAAACATGCTAAAAAATGGCCGCTTAAGTGAATTCGCGCTCGACAAATTTTCAAATTTTCACCCGTCTTTGAAAACCTTTTATCTCTCATTAACAAGCGTCGTCTTTTAAAACACGCTAAAAAAAGGATACTTAAGTGAATTCGTGCTCGACAAATTTTCAGATTTTCCCTCGTCTCTGAAAACCTTATCTCTCCCTCCTTGAAACCCTCCTGCACTCTCTAAAACACCCTCTTGGAACTCTCTACAAAATCATAAAAAAAACGATATCAATGAAAGAGTTGAGAGATTTTCGCAGATCCATAAGATGTAGAGGGAGGTTCTGTATTTGAGAATCAAAGCTGGTTGAAAGGTTTGATTTGAAAGATCTCGACCTTCACTTTCTTCAAAGAAGATCTCGCTCTCAGGCACTCAACTCGCTCATCAAACTCAGCGACTCGATCTAGAAAGACTTATGGAAATCGGTATATATATATATATATGTTTGTTCATGTATTGTGCTATTTCTGGTTTCTTTTTAGATTTTCTGATTTGATTATTAGGAGATGAGGAGGAAGCTTGCAGATTTATAACTTTTTCTTTTGCAGGTTTTCTATGTGAATCGTATGTTCTTTTGTTGTTGAAAATTTGTTACCTTCTCTTCCACCTAATTTTTTATGTTTATAATCTTAGCTTTTTTTTTTCTCTATTTGTCATTTTGATTTATTTACTGGGATGATGGAGGAGACTTCAGTTGTGCATCATTTGTATGTTTGGATGAGGAAGGCTTGGATTAGGAGTACGTAGGTCTTGTTAGGAATTATGTTTGTTGTAGAATAAAGATAGAATAAAGATTGGTTAACTTTGTAATAACTATTGAATCTTCAAGTTTTATGAAAGAAACTATTTTTGAGTGTATATATTCATTAATAAAGCATTATGGTTGGTTTTCTAGTTAAAATCGTTGTATAGCATCATAGGAAATCAAAAAGAACTAAAATGTAGCAATTTGGGAACTTATTAGACGATGGTTTTTATAATAAATCATGATCTTTACAGATAATTAATGACGGTTTTTATAAAAAAGGTCATCTATTATAGGTAAAGATGACGTTTTAAAAAAAAAAAGAGAGTCGTCTATTATATGTAAAGATGACGGTTTTAAAAAAAAAGGGTAATCTATTATATGTAAAGATGACGGTTTTTTTTAAAAAGGGTCATCTATTGTGAAGTAAAGATGACTGTTTTTTTAAAAAAAGGGTCGTCTATTGTATGTAAAGATGACAGTTTTCATAAAAAACCGTCATCTTTACATACAATACATGACGGTTTTTAAAACCGTC